AATACCAAAAACATTTTTCACAGAACTAGAACAAATAATACTAAAATGTGTTGGAACCATGAAAGATCTCAAATAGCCAAAACAATCTTGAGAAAGAAGAATAAAGCTGGAGGTATCAGAATCCAAAATTTCAAGATATACTACAAAGCTACAGTAGTCAAAGCAGTATTGTACTGGCACAAAAACAGACACACAGATCAATGGAACAGAACAGAAAGTCTAGAAATAAACCCACCCCTACCATATGGTCGATTAACCTATGAAAAAGGAAGCAAGAATATACAACGGGGAAAAGACAGTCTCTTCAACAAATGATGCTGGGAAAACTGGTCAGCTACATGCAAAATGTGAAACTGGACGACTTTCTTAAAACATACATAAAAATAAACTGAAAATGGATTAAAGACCTAACTATGAGACCTGAAACCATAAAACTCCTAGAAGAGAACACAGGCAGTAATATCTTTGACATCAGCCATAGAAACAATTTTCCAGATGTCTCCTCTGGCAAGGGCAACAAAAACAAAAATAAACTATTGGGACTATACCAAAATAAAAAAAACTTTTGTACAGTGAAGGAAACCACTGACAAAACAAAAAGGCAACCTAATGAATGGAAGAATATGTTTGCAAATGACATATGTGATGAGTTAATATCCAAAATATATAAGAACTTACACAACTCAACACCAAAAAAGCAAATAATCTGATTTTAAAAATGGTCAGAGGACCTGAATAGACATTTTTCCAAAGAAGACATACAGATGGCCAACAGACACACGAAAAGATGCTCAAAGTCGCTCATCATCAGGGAAATGCAAGTCAAAACCACAATCAGTAAATAAATAAATAGAGAAGAGAAGCCTCTTCCTTACATTAAGAGGTAGACCTCATTGTCTACACCTGTCAGAGTGATCAAAATAAAACACACAAGAAATAACAAGTATTGGTGAGGATGTGGAGAAAAAGAAACCCTCATGCACTGTTGGTAGGAATGTAAATTGGTGCAGCCACTGTGGAAAACAGTATGGGGGGGGGTTCTCAAAAAATTAAAAACAGAGCGTCCATGTGATCCTGGAACTTCACTACTGGGTATCTGAAGAAAATGAAAACACTAATTTGAAAAGATATCTGCACTCCTATGTTTAATGCAGCATTATTTACAATAGCCAAGATATGGAAGCAACCTAAGTGTCTGCTGATGGATGAATGGATACTAAAGATGTGGTATGTATACAATGGAATATTACTCAGTCATAAAAAGGAATTAAATCTTGCCATTTGCAATAAAATGGATGTACCTAGAGAGTATAATGCTAAGTGAAATAAGTCAGAGAAAGACAAATACTATATGATTTCATTCATATCTAGAATTTAAGAAACAAATGAACAAACCAAAAAACCAGACAAACAAAAAACAGACTCTTAACTACAGAGAACATACTGGGGGTTGCCAGAGTGGAGATGGGTGGGGTGTGGGTGAAATAGATAAAGGGAATTAAGAGTACACTTAAAATGAAAAGAAAAATTTTTTTTAAAGAAACCTAAATAAACCTAATTAGAAAGACATATATTCATGAACTGGAGAACTCTATATTGCTAAGATGGCAATTCCCAAACTTGATCTAGTCAACAAAATCCCAAAATGTCAGTGCTTTTGTTTTGGTAGAAATTGACAAGCAGTTTTCTAAAATGTATAAATAAATATAAATAACCTAAAACAAAGTAATTTTCATAAAGAAAAAGAAAGCTGGAGTACTCACCCTATGTGATTCAAGACATAAAGCAACAGTAATGAAGAGAGTTTGATATATGAAAAAAAATGTATATATAAACAAGTAATAGAATAGAGTATTCAAAAACAGACCCACACACATATGGTCATTGATTTTCAAAAAAGCTGTTGAGGCAATTCAGTTATAAAAAGACTTTTGAACAATGGGACTAGACAACTAGATAGCCATATGAAAAAGCTATATGAACATAACACCATCTACAAATATAATCTTTGGATCATAGACCTAAATGTAAGAACTAAAACTATAACATTTCTAGAAAAAACATGGAATAATTTTGCAAGATGTGCCTGTAACATCAGTTTGAAGGGGCTCCTGCTGGCCAAATCTGAGACAATTTGAACATGATATAAATAAGAACATTAATGGATTATATTCCATTAAATAAAACTGGAATCCATGACTCTATATTGGTAACTAAAATTTAAGTAAGTGAATAAATAAATAGAGAAGAGAAGGCTCTTCCTTACACTAAGATGTAGATTGATAAACACGGAACAAGTGGTGGATTTAGAAAATCATCACCTTGCATCTATCATTGTCAAGATTGGCTTTGGCTAACAGTCATGCACAGATGCAAAATATAAAGGATTAAGTCTTATGAGAAGCAGGATATATGCATGTTTCAAACAATCTCTCACATTGCTGAATGTGAGAAAAAAACTAGGCATTAAAACAACAACAAATCCCAAGCATTACACACTGGAGAGACCAGACAATATTTTTTCTGAGTTGTGCTTTTTTATTTTCTTATGTATGTATTTAAGGTTTTAATTTTAATTCCAGTTGGTTAACATACAATGTTAGAGTAAAGATGTATAATATAGTGATTCAACATTTACATATATCATCCAGTGCTCATCCTAAGTGCACTCCTTAATCCCCATCACCTATTTAACCCTTCCCCCCACCCGCCTCCCCTCTGGTAACCATCAATTTGTTCTCTGTAGTTGAGTTTGTTTCTTGGCTTGCCTATTTCCCTTTGCTTGTTTGTTTTGTTTCTTAAATTTCACATACGAGTGAAATAAATATGGTATTTCTCTTTCTTTGAATGACTCATTTTGCTTAATATAATACTCTCTAGCTCCATTCATGTTAATGCAAATGGCAAGATTTTGTTCCTTTTTATGTCTGAGTAATATTCCATTGTGTGTGTGTGTGTGTGTGTGTGTGTATACACACACACTACATCTTCTTTATTCATTTGTCAGTGGATGGACACTTGGGCTGTTTCATACTTTGGCTATTGCAGATAATGCTGCTATAAATATTCGGGTGCACGTATCCCTCTAAGTTATTATTTTTGTATTCTTTGGGTAAATACCTAGTAGTGCAATTGCTAGACTGCATAGTACTTCTATTTTTAACTTTTTGAGGAACCGCCTTACTGTTTTCCACAGTGGCTGCACCAGTTTGTATTTCCACCAACAGTGCAAGAGAGTTCCCCTTTCCCTCTATCCTTGCCAACACCTGTTATTTCTTGTATTGTTGATTTAGCCATTCTGACAGGTATGAGGTGATATCTTATTGTAGTTTTGATCTGTATTTCCCTGATGATGAGTGATGTCAAACATCTTTCCATGTGAGAGACCAGACAATATTTTAACCAGGCAATAAAAATTACTATCTCCAGTAAAAAGCACGTGGACACTCTGTGCTTCCAGATGTGATACCCTGAGAATAATACTTTAGTTAAGTAATATTTTAACTAGGGATGTATCACCTGAATACAAATGTGAGACTACACAGACAAACCCAAATTGACGAACATTCTTCTAAAGTGTCAATGTCATGAAAGATGGCTGAGGAAATGTTTCAGATTAAGAGGCCAGAAAGACATATTGATTAAATGCAGTATGAGATTCTGGACTGGATTCTGTCTTAGAAGGGGATAAAATGCTTTAAAGAACATTAACGGGACTATTGACAAAACGGAAATTGGGGCTGTAGATTAAAAATGAAAACAGTGAAGTTATTATTGTACTGAGGTTATATGAGAGAATACTTTTTCTTAGGAAATTTTGTTCCTTTTGTTCCTAGGAAATGTACACTGATGAAGAGATAAAGAGACATATATATGCAACTTAAATTCAAATGGTTCAGAATATAATTATGTATGCGTGGGGAGAAAAAAAAAGCTAACGTGGCAACATGTTAAAAATGTTTAAAAACAGTGAATCTGAGTAAAAGATACAGAAGGGAGTTCTACTTTTCTTATAACTTTTCTATAGATAAGAAATTATCTCAAAATAAATAGTAAAAAAAAATACAAAAAATAAAAACTATAAAAAGTAAAAAACAAAAACAAACCAAAAAAACCCACAAAAAACACTATGGCAGCAGAGGAAATAGGATATAAAGGCAAGGGGTGCCTGCGTGGTGCAGTTGGTTAGATGTCCGACTCAGGTCGTGATCTCAAGGTCATGAGATCAAGCCCTACATTGGGCTCCGAGCTCAGTGTGAGTCTGCTTCAGATTCTCTCTTCCTCTCCCTCTGCCCCTCCCGCTTGTGCTTTCTCTCTCTCTCTCAAATACATACATAAATAAATAAATCTTAAAAAAAAGGATATAATGGCAAGAACACCAAACATAGCGTCATAGTCCTTGAGTCCTAGTTACTGTGTATATTTGCATAAAATAGTTCACAACATCTCTGATTCTGTTGCCTTGTCTCTGAAATATATCTGCCTCATGGATTATCCAGGGTTGTCACAGGGCAAGGAAAAACTGAGCATATGAAATGATCTCAAGCCTGGTAAAGTGATACATACAGTTATGTAAGAGAGTCAGGAGTGTCAAAAATCCAATTTATAATAGAATAAAAAAATCACTGAGCAGTGTTTTCTTTGCTGCCATTTCACTAGCTAACATTCAGCCCTGAGACAGAAGCAGATGGACCACTGCCCCCACTGCTCCCCTGCCTTCTCTCACTGCCAGAAGGATGTTCATAACCAACCTCCCAGCACATGACAAATTCAATGTTAGTGGGCTGCAATCTCCTCACAGGGGACAAGCTGGGACAAAAGACACACTGCTGAAATGGAGAGTCTTCTGAGAACTAAGAACTTACATGGGAAATCAGCAAGATGAGAGCTATCTACACTAGACTCAAATCTCACATTTTCCTAAACCATAGTTTTGGAGAAAAGTCTTTCTGGCAATTTCAGAAAAAATCCATATTCAGATGAAAAAGCTCACATCTTACCGATTTGTGATGATGTCATCCCAGATGTTCATTGGGTCCATTTTAGCATCTGGGTATCTGTTTGTCCAGGTTTTTAGAAGTCTCTTAAGGGGAGCTTGAGATGATAAACTACCTAAAAATATTAGAAGATGACTATATCCACAGCTCAATGACAAGACCAATTTACAAAGTTGGGCTGCCATTAGTAAATAGAAACTTAATTCAAATTTCTTGACCAAATTAAAAACTTTTGTTTTGTCTTTCACAATAGGAACAAAAAGATACCGCAGTAAATCTAATACATTTTGACAATCAAAACTCAATTTCTTAAGGACACAGAGTAAGACTGGGGAAATAAACATACAATTTTTAAATTTAGCATAGGTTCACAGTCCTTCATCCACAATTCCAAAATCTAAAAAAGCACTGAAACTTGAAAAGTTTCATAGGGTTGCAGCCAATTTTCTTGTCGGCAAAATCTGATCTGAATCAGCATAGGGCTACTTATAGTCTTGGTTTACGCCATTTATGTGAATATTCACCTCTTAAGCTGGAGGGACATCACTGTTGAATGACGGAATACTGCCCCAGACCCTGGTATGTGCACAAGGTTACATCATAATAATTAATAAACAAAGCAATCTGGCCTTAAGAGATTCATGATAGCTCTCGAAAATTTAAATCTCACATTACTAATGTTTAAGGCTTTAGTTTTCTCTCTTTCTATTGGTGGGAAAGCAGTGGTTAAGAACATAAGCTTAAATCGGACAGTCCTGGGTTCAAGATCAGAATCTTTTGCACACTAGGTTAGGCAAGTTATTTAACCTATGTTTCTATAAAATGAGATGAAAAAAATCTAAATCTTGTAAGGCTTTCATAAAAACTATGTAATATAGAAAAAAGAGATTAACTTAAGTCCTGGAAAGTAGAAAACACTTAATGAGTGATCATTAACTATGTCATTAACAATATGTACTTGAAAAAGAATTCTCCAAATTTAAAGCAGAGTATGATTAGCTATAGATATATAGGAATACCAATTTTTATTAGTACTCTGAGAGAGTCTTTCATTTTTATTTTTAATTATTCAGCAAACAAGCTGAAATTCCAATTTATAACTAAGATATATACCTGATGCAAAGATGTACTCTTTCCCTTTGACTCTGGGTGGCCTCCCATAGGTGCCGGGATAAAATCTACTTGCTGGCAGCAGAAAGACCTTCAGGGTCTGCACACTGCCACCAGCAGCTTCACCTCCCCTCAGGCCAGGGAATGTGGCACCCAGTCACTGAACTTCCAGCCCATCTGGGACACTGCAGGCTTTCTATAAGACAGACCTTCTGCGAGCCCCCCGTCTTTTACACACTCAACTCAGGCACTTCCTCCAGGAACCTCCTGCACCCTTCAGTCCAGGGCAGATTCTGTTATCTGTATTTGACATGGGACTTCCCTGCCTCAGTAGGGATCACACTGTGTGGGGATTACCCCACTCTTTTGAAAGCTTTTTCAAGCTAGGCAATATGTTTTATTTGGCTTTGCATCCCCAGTGTCTAGAATAGTGCTTGACCATTTTAAACATTTATTTCAATGATGTCAAAATATATATTTGTAGAATGAACTCAAGGTATTTTCTAACCCATATGTTAAGAAACATGTACTTTCACTAAGTAAAAAAAAAAATCATACCAAAATTTTTCCATAATTATAAAAGAAAAAATGGCAGGTTAAAAAAAATTACCTTGTCTGCTTATAAAACTGATGAACTCCTGAATTTCTATTATAGTTTGTACAGACTGTAATTTGGTGAGTCTACTTCTGTGTAAGAGGACATCAATACTTGAGTAATTCTAGAAAAAAGATATTTAACATTGTTTATAAATCAATTTACTACTTTAAATTTTAATACAGTTCCCTAAAACATAAAATATTACAACTACCCTACATCAATTACAAAATGTGTCTCAGAGTAGTTAATAGTTAACTCACAGAAATAATTAACAAATGGTTTAAGTTTTTAAAAATAATTTAGGTTTTTAATCACATTTTGGTTCAAAGAAGTCAATAAAATCAATATAATTAGGCATTGTTGCCTCTATTCACCACCAATTTTTAAAAATCACAATGTCCTATAATATAAAACTGCCAACAACAGAAGTCAATTACTTCTTTGATAAACTTCCCCTTGAGTGTACTAAACAAATTCAAAATTTTGGGTGCCTGGTTGGCTCAGTTGGTTGAGTGACCAACTCTTGATCTTGGCTCAGATCTTGATCTCACTGTCGTGACTTCAAGCCCCACAATGGCTCCAAACTGGCCATGGAGCCTACTTAAAAAATAAAATTACACCAGTTAGAATGACAAAAATTGACAAGGCAAGAAACAACAATGTTGGAGAGGTTGTGGAGAAAGGGGAACCCTCTTACACTGTTGGTGGGAATGCAGGTTGGTACAGCCACTTTGGAAACAGTGTGGAGGGGCCTCAAAAAATTAAAAATAGAGCTACCCTATGACCCAGCAATTGCACTCCTGGGTATTTACCCCAAAGACACAGATGTAGTGAAAAGAAGGGCCATATGCACCCCAATGT